AATTTCCCTCAATAAAAATAAATGTCTCTGAAAATATTAATCAATTTTAAATATATCAGCATTCCAGAGACTGAAATATTAAATCACTATTCATTATAGTGTTCATTAATTGATTCCCCACCATGACTAATTGTATTTTGATATGAATATTTGCTGTACATGATTAAAGTCTTAGTCAAACAAAGTAGGGGAAGGGAAGTAATTAAAAAAAAATTCCCCTAACTAAAAAATAGTGAGGATAAAATAAGTAGACATTTAACACAAAAGTTACAGGACATATAAACATCAAAAGAAAAACTTTAAGAGGGAGCGGGGCAAGACGGAGGCCCAGAAACAGCCGGTACATGCTCTCAAGAAGAGGACCCAAAGTTGCAGGCAGCTGCCTACCCCCACAGATGGTTCTTCTTGGAAAGAACACTGTAAAACTCCGGAGAAGCGAGGGGATATATTCAGAGCGCAGGAGAAGGTGAAGGGGCAATTCACTGGGCGAGATGGAAGGGAACTTTGGGGTGGCATCTATACCTGGAGAAGGACAGAAGAAGAGAACCCTGGGGCTCCACGTTCACCCACAGGCATCGCGGCTGGAGATACGAGGTGGATCCCTCTACCACCACAGACCTCTGGACTGATGAGGAGCTGCGTGGAATCATTGCAGAGACATTGTACTGGAGAGTGATCGCAGAAGGGATCTGTTGGCTTCCGATCCCAGGTTTCTGCAGCTGATGCCACTCTGAGCTCTCAGGTGCATGGTGCCAGGTCTGCATGGGGCTTGCTTTGCTGCAGCAGCCTTGGTATCATCCCCGCAGGGCTGCAGAGTGAGTGGGGAGAGGGGATGCTCCCCAGAGCCATGCCTTGTGACTGGGTGTAGAGCACTCCACCCTGCCAGAGTGGGATCTGAGCAGAGGAGGCACCTCAAGGACCACAGACACCACCTGGGAAGCCTCGAGCAGCAGACTTCGTGGAACCGGTATAGGCGTGGAACCCAGCCACCTGTTGGTACCAGACCACAGCCCATCACTCCCCAGCGACCTGAACACTGCTGCCCACCCCATGCAGATCCAATTCCACCATTCTCATGGTACTGGTGCTGCTACCCACATGCGCAGCTCAGCAACCACAGTGCCCACACTTGAGAAAAGTCCCATGTCAGCCAGGCCTCATCTTTGTGGTTCCTGGCTGCTAGAATTCACCCAACCACGAGGCTCTGCATCCTCAGTCTCCATGCCCAGGATCCATGCCCTTGTTGTGGGTCCCAAACCCTGTGGTTCCCTGTCTGTGGTCTGAAGTGGCGGCCCCATCCACATAGCTTCCTGCCCTGACACGGGAAGACTGCTATCCCAGCCTGAAGCTCCAGCATGGAGCACGGGAGCAAGGCCAGGCCCTGGTGGCTCCAAAACATCATTGGACCCACGATTTCAGCCCCGAGATTCCAGCATTGTGCCTAGCGGAAACCCCACCCCTGAGTCTCCACAACCGCTACTGGTCCAATGGAACCAACTGAAGCTCCCAAGGTCTGCCAGGGATCCCCGAGATGGGAGCCACCATTACATCTGGACCTGGATAGAACAAATGCACACAACCCAGACACCCACAACCATTACCTAGATAGCCTCACTCAGCTGCCAGTGTCACCTCTGCAGGGAAACGTTGAGTAGAGCAATCCCCCACAACACCAGTCTCTGAGGAAAGGGACCAATCCAGTCCCCAACTCGAGCTTCCAACAATAATCTGGATAACAATCCACCACTTTGCACCAACATCATCCAGCACCTGCTTCAACTGTGAGAATCACAGGGGACTCAGACAAAACAGAAGGGTGGCACTACAGGCTCTCAGGGAGCCCGCATCTCCCCTGCAAGGTCAACATTCAAGAGTAAGACACAAAAGGCCATAAAGGGAGGTCCCCTTCTTCTCACTAAGTAGCAGAGTTAGTGAGACAAAGGGGACACAAGCTATCAAAGTCTATGGGATTTAGCAATACCATTCCTAAAAGGAAAATTCATAGCCTCAAATTCCTACATGGAAAAGACAAAAAGCTCACAAAATAACAATAACAACCTAATGTCACATCTCAAGGACCTAGAGAAGGAAAAGCAAACCTAACCCAAAGCCAGCAGATGAAAACAAATAACAAAGCTCAGAACAGAAAGAAATTATATGGAAAACAAACAAACAAAAAACACAAAGGATCAATGAAACAAAAACTTGGTTCTTTGAACACATAAACAAAATCATTAGACCTCATGATAGATTAACCAGGAATAAAAGACAAAGGACCCAAGTAAGCTCAATCAACCATGAAAAAGGAGATATAACAACTGATATTATACCAAACACAAAATGTCATCCATGAATACTATGAAAATCTCTATCCACATAAACTAGAAAATGTAGAAGAAATGGAAAAATTCCTGGAAACACACAATCTCCCAAAACTCGATTAGGAAGAAACATAACCCCTGAGCAGACAAACAATGAGAAATGAGATTGAAGCAGTAATAAAAAATCTCTCAAACAAAAATAAAGCCCCAAACTAGAGGGATTCACAGCCAAATTCTACCAGACCTGTAAAGAAGAACTTGTACCCATCCTACAGAAATTATTCCATAACATCAAGAAGAAGGTAATCCTTCCTAAATCATTCTATAAAGCCAGTATCACCTTGACACCAAAAGCAGGAAATGACACAACAAAAAAAGCAAACTACAGACCAATAACCATTAAGAACATAGATGCAAAAAGCCTAAACAAAATACTAGCAAATTGAATTCAGCAGCACATCAAAAACATAATTTACCAAGACCAAGTGGGCTTCATCCCGGGGATATAAGGATGGTTCAACATATGTAAATCAATAAATGTGAATCATGACATAAACAGAAGTCAAAACAAACACAATATGATCATCTCAATAAATGCAGAAAAAAACATTTGACAAAATATAGCACCCTTTCATGATAAAAACCCACAACAAACTAGGCCTAGAGGGAATATACCTTAAAATTATAAAATCCATATTTGACAAACCCACAGCCAACATCATACTGAATGGGAAATGGGGAAAAGTTGAGAGCATTCATGCTAAGAACTGTAAGAAGAAAATCATGCACACTGTCACCACTTCTATTCAACATAGAACTGAAGGTTCTAGCCAGAGCAATGAGGCAAGAGAAAGAATTTATTTCCAAATCAGGAAACAGCTGGTCAAACTACCACTTTTCACTAATGATATGATCTTATATCTAGAGAATACTAAAGACTCTACCAAAAGTATCCTAGAATTGACTTTCTCCAGGAAAGTCTCAGGTTACAAAATGAATGTACACAAGTCAGTAGCATTTCTATATACTAATAACAGTCAAGCAGAGGGGCAAATCAAGCACTCAATACCATTCAGAATAGCTACAAAGAAAATAAAATACTTAGATATATACTTGACCAAGAGAGTAAATAATCTCTATAAGGAGACCTAGGAAACACTGATGAAAGAAATCACAGATGGCCGGGTGCAGTAGCTCACGCCTGTAATCCTAGCACTCTGGAAGACTGAGGAGGGTGGATCATTTGAGCTCAGGAGTTCGAGACCAGCCTGAGGAAGAGCAAGACCCCATCTCTACTAAAAATAGAAAGAAATTAGCTGAACAACTAAAAATATAGAAAAAATTAGCCGAGCATGGTGGTGCGTGCCTGTAGTCCCAGCTACTTGGGAGGCTGAGGCAGGAGGATCACCTGAGCCCAGGAGTTTGAGGTTGCTGTGAGCTAGGGTGACGCCACGGCACTCTCGCCTGGACAACAGAGGGAGACTCTGTCTCAAAAAAAAAAAAGAAATCACAGATGGCACAAAATAATGGAAAAATATACCATGCTCATGGATTGGTAGAATCAATGTTAAAATGTCCACACTGCCCAAAGTCAGTTCCAGATTCAATGCAATCCCCATCAAAATACCAACATCATATTTCACAAATCTGGTAAAAATATCCATGTTTTCATTTGCAACCAAAAAATAGCCTGAATAGCCAAAGCAATCTTAAGTAAAAAGAAGAAATCTAGAGGCTTCACGTAATCAGACTTCAAATTGTACTATGAAGATATAGTAACCCAAACAGCATTGTATTGGTACAAAAATATATACGTAGACCAATGGAACAGAATAGAAAATGCTGACAGAAAACTATCTACCTATAACAAACTAA